ACCCACGACCACCACACACCCCTACCCAATCCCTGCCAACCCCTTGGAGCCCCGGCCATGCCACCACTCGCATGCGGTGCCCAGCTAATGTTCGAAACCTCATATTCGCATTGCCAAGCGGCAGCCGGCCCACGCTCAACAGTAGTGGGCGCATTGGGGGTGCTGCTATGATTCGGGTGAGGTGGAGCGGGTGGTACGGTTGCGGCGTTGCTTTGATTGATAAGATCCCAGATTAAAACGAGAGCGTCGTCTGCACCTGAGGCGATGGTGCCACGTCGAGTGGGAGACCATTCGATACAATTTATCGGGCCTGCGTGGCCTTTTAATTCGAGAAGGGCTTGGCCGGGTTGTCGTACGTCAAGTATGCGGATTACGTTGGAGTCTTGGGAGAAGGTGCCAAGGAGATGGGCATCATGGGGGGAGGCTTGGGGTATGTGTTATTAACCCAGGGGACTTTATTTTTGGTTCTGAGGAATGCGGGCGTTTTAAACGGCGGACACTTACCAGCTATCCGTAATAATGGCGGGGGCCAAGGGGCGTTGTGAGAGGGTGGTGTAAGATTCCCTGGGTTAGTTACTGAATATAACTTAGTATGGAACGCTTTTATTTGAAGGCGAGAGCGGCTTACACTTCTCATTCTTCTCGGACGGTTCATAGATAATCGTGCTGTGCTCCAGGCTCCGCAGGTCAAACATCCGAACACTCCCATCCGCACCACAGCTAACAAACACATCAACACTATTGGCACAGAATCTGACATCATAGACTTCTTTATCATGAGCAATCAGTTGCGTCTTAGCTGTTAGCGTAGGAATATCCCATATAGTACATGTCGTGTCGATGCTGGAAGTGATAATTAGGCTTGGAGATACAACATTCCAGTCCAATGATGTTATTGGAGCAGTGTGTTCCGGTGATTTAGAATTGGAAAGAAGGGCGAGAGGTGAAAGCTTTTGTATGGGCTGATTTCTCGACTTGCTGGATCGATTGATGGAGTTACTCATGTAAGATTGTGAGTGCGAGTCCGCCGGCAGTGACCAAAGCCGCAAATGATCACCCGAAGTCGCCAATAGATCGGTTGATTGCTTTTGAGACGAGGGTGGCTCCCATAATATTCTGGTCACCGGGTACGAATGTGTGGCTTCCGCAGTCTTTATAAAATCCAAACCCGGGTTTCCGTCAGAGGATTCCGGGGCATCTAAAGAAGCACGCTGCGCGCTTAGAATTTGAATCTGGAATAACAATTAGTTACACAATTAGCTACGTTCAGCCCATGTGTAAAGTAATGCACTATGATTAAATGTGGACCGATGCTCCAAGACGCAGAACATACATAGTTGTGACTGTCTTCAAGATAGCTTCCTATAGCGATTTTTCCGAACGATGATCCTCCTGGAGGAGGAGGCCATTTACACCAGTCCAAGGCGTATACTGCCCATGGGGCAATGTGATTGCTGTTTGTGGAATATGGCGCATCGCCATTATTACCTCCTGTCACCGTGCTGCTTGTGTCTTCCGACATTGCAGAATCAATATGGGGTCTGATATCAGCCAATCCTAAAGGCGAGTATGGAGACGGCGCCTGCGGAGTCTGTGTGGCATAAGTGCCTGTCGTTGGCGAAATGTACTTTCCATTATCCGGCGTGCTCCCTACTTGGTTGAATTTCGGTTGATCAAATGCGGACGGACTGGATCTGGAGAAAGCTTGTTGTTGGCCAGATTTTGAAGGAGTGTTTGGTGAGAGAGGTTGGGTAGCCAGGTGCGGTAGCATTTGTATCGCTGGCGGGCCAGTAGTATTGGGAAGACCTGGTCGGTTTCCGGGTCCCGGTTGCAATGCTCCCGGGAGTGAAGTGGTGTTGTTATTCGCATGACTGGAGAATTGGGAAGGTTGAATATTGATTGACGGCGCACCATAATCAGGGGCAGAAGGAAATTGATTCTGGCCTGGTCGAGGACCATTGGAAGCTAATGAGCTGCTCGCCGCAGGGATGTGTAGTTCCTCTGGCTGTCGCGGGAAGGTTTGTTGCCGTCGGGGGCCATTGAAGGCCTGGGAGGGCTCCGCCATAGCCGGGGCAGATGTAGTATAGTATAGGGAAGCAGTCTCAAGCCTCTATACTTGAAGACCTAGCGAATCTCACATCAACTTGGACTTCCGCTCCGCTAAGGCCCGCAGAGTGATTGTTGGAGAAACGAAGGACCTCCGAAGCTGAGGATTCTGGTCTTGGAGGCGGGGTGAGCAGGTGGCAGTGGGAGAGCCTAGAACTTGTCGATACTGAAATGTTCCACCAGCTGCACTCGAGCTAATTGGGCCTCACCCTGTACATTGCATATAGGGTAATGGAGGAGATGATGCCCATTCAGAGGCATATTCATCCGCTGGCGAGATGTCGGCACCGATTTGATCTCTCACCTCGAGAGCCGTATTGGCTTGGCGATAATGACTCAGCAGATATCACGTGTGATTAGACACGTTCTTCGGCTCATTGCATGGGAAAGAAACCATCCCCACCAAGGTGTGTTTAAATCTAGAAATTAAATAAATAAAAAGGAACAAAGTTTCCGTTAGAAAGACATATATATCAGTGCGTTCATCAGAATGAGGTGATTATCAGGTGTCTTTACATGCTTGTGCTTTTTTCAATACAATACTGGCACCCCAACTGTCGCCCCTCCCCAGATACCCTCTCCAGGTACATCCCGTTCTGGCCCACTTCTAATATAATCCTTTACTATTTGGTCCAAGTCGACATCAAAATATTATATATTGTGGGAGTCTGAATCCTGAACGATATGGCAGCTGCAGAGAATTTCAGCCACGAAGCATTGCTTCTACTCCCTTGCACGCTTTCGGACTCATTTGCTTCTTTAAAAGCTGCATACCAACCTGCGTTGTCAATAATTCTTGCCGAACTTTCTAGTCCTATCAAAGGAACCAGTGGTAAGGCAGTGTTAGATATCGCAATTACAGCAAGTAGTCTAGCCGTACCAGCATCTGCGCCACGAGGCAGGGCATTCGTGCATTTGCAACAACTGTTGGCTTCTTTTTACCGGCTCCTTGGCGCGACGAGTGTTGCGCAATCGGGTTGAATTGGGATGGGCCAGGTGGGGTGGACGCGAGAGTATTTTTTCTTGATGATAGTGGCAATGGCAACGATGATAACGGGCTCGGTCATGGAAACAGCCAGATGGGGCCAATTATACATCTGACTGATATGGTAGTTTCTGGTCGTTCCTGGAAAACGGTTTTCTCTCTTGAGACAAGAGAAGGGGATATGATCCTTAATGCCCTTACCACGACAGCAAAGAGACAAGGGCTTTCAAACCCAGTCTCCACTATTCGGAGACTTCCTGGCATCCCAGAGCTACAGATGCCGACAAATACTTTTGAGCAACCTGACTTGCGTCCGCGACGCCATTATTCCGTTGCAGTTGGCGGGACTTTTGATCATTTGCATGTAGGGCACAAACTCCTGCTCACGGCGACCGCCCTTGTTATTGACGCAGTGCCATCGGGGCCTGAGCCGATTCAAAGGACCATCACCATTGGTATCACGGGAGATGAGCTGTTGGTAAATAAAAAGTATGCAGAGTACCTAGAAAGTTGGGATGATCGATGGCAGGGTGTTTGGACATTTATGGAATCGATAATAGATTTTTCACCGCCGTTTGCGGATCGAGCTGCTACTCAAATGTCGACCAACAGAATCGAGCACGTTCACTATCCCGGACCAAATGGCAAGTATGTCCGTGTGCGAGTGTCATCGGACTTGGATATTAAATTCGTTCAAATTTCTGATCCATTCGGTCCCACTATCACAGACGAAGCTATAAGTGCTTTAGTTGTGTCTAAGGAGACTCGATCGGGTGGGAAGGCAGTGAATGACGAACGGGAGAAGAAAGGCTGGTCAAAGCTAGAGATTTTTGAAGTTGATGTTTTGGATAGCAGTGCAGCCGAAATCCAGGGAGAGGTTGTTGACAATTTTGAGACCAAGATAAGCAGCACAGAAATTCGTCGACGCCAGATGAACATAGCTAAGGGAAATCTATGAACACATGCATTTTTGTTATCGCTGTTGGTTTTGTAATATCGACTGACGGGTGAATTTTTTTTTTTTTTTTTTTTTTTCCAAGTTTGTATCAGGGGAAGCGATAATCGGCAAATAAACCGAGATACTTCATGTTTCTTTACCTGCATCACAAACCCACGCACCTTTCCTGGTCAAACGGCCATCCCTGTCACATTTTACGTAATGTTCCAGTTCTATTTGGCCATGGGGTACAATCGGTAGCCAAAGACACCCAAATTTTTATTATCGAAAAATGGCGGCCCACCGTTGGCCGTGATGTGGGCCTGATTTAAGCACGCAAGTATCGGTGTTGGAGACCTTCGATGACCTTCACGTCTGCATGGAAGACTAGATATGTTTTCAATGTACAGATACCCGACTACCGCCTGCGAAGTCGTTTGTTGGGGAAACGTAGCATTATCACCCCGTATTTCCTTGAAGTGTGTGACCCGCACAACTGCTACCAGCTGGCACAGCTCTTCGTGGAGGTAAAAAGGAAAATTGTGATAAAATAAATTCCTAGTTCAGAACCCACGGCTTTGGGCCTCGTAGCGAGAGGCTGAAGAAAAAGCAAAGAAAACGAACTGCATGCTTCCGGTGCATCGTGGCCACCTTTTCCACCCGAGGGTTGAGTACAGCAGGATGAAGGAAGATGCAGGAAGCAATCGAAAATTAGAGAAGCAGAACAAGAAAATGAAAAGACACCAAAGGAACGAATATTTCCATTTGAAGAATTCGTCATTCGCTGAGGAAATTATGCGAGGAGTTGGAGTTGTATGCAGCATTCCAGCAAGGATGCCGCAGTCAGGCGCTAAAAGAAGGGGATGACTGGACTAAAAAATTGCCAGCTTCAGATGGCTCGCCTTAATGAAATTCTTCTTTCATTGATTCCTTTCGCTCCCCCAATTCTTGAGTATGAGATTTCTTGAATGAAAATGGGGCGATTTGGTCAGATTCGCAACTTGCCACAGGATGCGGATTGTACGGATGAACTCTCTGATTGTGCACATACTTGTACTGTACAGTACATGCGCGGACGGAGTTTTAAGGGACGCATCTGGCATAGTTCAGGGATTGAAGTTGATTGGGAGGTTCCTCGTTTGTCGTTGCCAGCACCTAGTCTGCCCATTTGCATAGACAATTCGAAACAAAACCCTGAACCCTGATAGAAGTCCTGTTCCTACATAAGGGATGTTTGCCAGGATGTCTGCTAAATGGTGCAGTCCGTACTTTGCAAGACAACTGCATTCCGACCTGCCTGAGATAAAATATGACCAGTCCCATACGGCCCTTGCCTGATTGAAATCGCCGTCAAGAGATAGACCGGAAAAACAAAGTGTTTGAAAGTTGACTAAAGTAAGAAAGCAGTGTCAATCAGTTTGGAGTTAGGTACAAAGGTGTACAGCTCAATAAGCATTCACCAACTCCTGCACATGTTGTTTGTGTTGGCCATAACGTAGTACGATCAGCAGTGTGTAGAACCAGGCGATAGCAATAGCAACTCTGAGGCCGAGATGGACAAACAATGACAAGGCGGGGTCTCTGATTCTCGTCAGAACTCGCAGGCCGACCGCTGCCCAGTCCTACCTTCGGACAAGAGGGGTGGGAGGAAGAATGCTAGGATGAAATCGGGTATATATTTTCAGATTCCGCAGCCAGAAATTCCGGCAGTTCACTCCCCCAGTCCAACACTGCTCAATGTCGCAAACAAGAACACGTCGGTGGTTCTCGACCCTCCTTAGCAGCACGCCATCCACGTCGCCGGTGCATCCGCCATGGTGATTCGCCGCCTGGACGATAGACCAATGTCCTGTACCAGCGGGGTTTCTCGGTGAGTTGCAGGGACTCTGCAGCATTGGGCCGTGCATCCGCCTTTGGGGAGGGGAATCAGTTAGGGGGGATATCTTTACTGGGTCAAACTAAGGAATCAAGCTCTGCAGACTACAGCATGTCAAGGCCAACACGATGGTGCTCTCTTCAACGATTCGCCTGCCACAACCGCGCCACAGTCTCTGGCGTCCTCCCATCTTCAGGGCTCCCAGGTTCTTCCCTCTGGATTCACCACGGCCCGCATGCTGCCGCTGCTGGCGTAGGATCTGCTGGTGTATTTTCGATCATGTGACCCCATGGTGTAGTGGCCGAGCTGGTAATTGGCGTATATGAAGCAGGAGCCCGGGATGGAAGCGCCCACGCATTAAATCGGTGTATACCGAGTCGTCTGCGTGCGAGTGAAGGACTTTCTGTAATCTGCTGCGTCATGCTCATTTGTCGCCAGCGCCCGAAGTCCCAGTGCTGCCCGCCATTTGCACCACCTCTCTCTGATTTTCATAACCTGTGTTTATCCAAGGCTGTCTTGATTCTCACTTTGTCGCTTGGTTAAAGCCCCTTCAATATGATTGTCCTGAGCACTCTTATGTTTTTTTAACTTTCGACTTCCGCCTTCGTTTTGGACGACGATCTTATTGCCGTATCGATTGATCCCCGCACACTTCAACGATCTACTTGGCTTTTATTTTGGTGAAATCTTATCAAGTTCCCAAAAACTCCCCAAATATAATATAGATATATATCTATATTTTATGACGGTTATCCAAACAATACTCTCCACCTTTCAGCCCCTCAGTTACCCCTCAATTACCAGTGTTCGCCGAACAAGTTCGTCAACCTGGCTACACTCCTGTTCAGCTGGCTTTTTTCCTTTTTTTCGTTTCTTGCCCCGCGATTGCGGCTATTCCATGAGGAACCTGCCAACCAAGAATTTGAAGCGGCCAAAAAGCCGTCATCAGAATCTCAGATCCAAGAGATGGACGGACCACGTGGTATCTTGAGTCTCTCAAACGAGTTGTTAAGAGAAATCTTGGACCATTTGGCCCAGGACCCTGAGAAATGCGTCAGCGTCGATCGTCGTGCGTACCTCTCCATTGAGAGTTTCAAGCGTCCCAACCCACCTGAGCCAATACCACTCATTTACGACGCGAAGAATGGCTTCCCAGGAAGACTATCGAACGGATGTTGACCGCTTCAGGGAGGTCTGCAAACGGTTTGCAGATTTAGGTGCCTCCTATAAGTTTAGCCGGGTTGTGGTGCGGTTTTCTGAAAGCGCATTTCGGAAATTGGATATGTTGTCAAACTCCCGGCATTTGGCAAGACACCCGAGAAACTTCACGTATATCATTCGGTCATTTTATGTTGAAGGTTGTTCATCATTCCTATTCTCCCCTTCTTCAGCCTTTTTCCAACCCCCACTTCTTTCCATTTTTCTTTTCTTTTAAAGTCTTGGCGTGTCTAACGCATCTATCTCCTTTTCTGCGCTTCGGTTTTATTTTTTTTTAGATCGGGACAAGCTCAGTGAACTTTTCTTAACGGCGGATTCCAGCAAATTGAAGATTTCCGAACACCATCGTCGACTAGGGGAGCAGAAACGCTTGGTCAGCTCTGGCGAAGATTTCTCTTCCCTGAAACGGGCTATGCAAGCATTCAAGTCGCTTCAACATATCAAAGTTTTGAAGGTTCAGGATGAGACGGAACGGGAACTTTTACAATTCATCGAGCGACATGATAATCCGCTAGATCCATTAGTATCCTTAGATTGGAAACCAGCATGCGCCCATGCAGTGCGGACTCTCGCAATAGCTCTTCTCGAATCTCAGCCCCCTATTAACCGATTTTCCGGGCCACAGATAAATCCTCAAGCAGCTCTCACGTTGAAACGAGCCCCAATTGATATGGTTTCGGCGCTTGCTGTGAAACTGACTTGTTTGGAAATCCACTTCGATGCGATAAGATACGTCAATGCAGAGATGCGGGAATTGTCAGAAGTCTTTCATACTCTATTTATGGCAGCCAAAAACATGGAAGCCGTGCATATAGGCTTCCCTTCTCGTATACCCCTTGATTTGCGGCTCGAAGATATATTCCACAATGTATACTGGGAGAAGCTGCGCGCATTCGGCATCCAAGCGTGGCGACTGGACTCGGAGGAGATTATCAAGTTCTCCCGCCGTCACCGCCGGACGCTTCGCGGTCTCCGCTTACGAGATGTTCTTCTCAAAGAAGGAAGTATGTGGAAAGATGTCCTTTCCATGCTGCGCGAGGAGATGGAGAATCTGGAATGGGTCAGCTTGCGACGGATCGATTATTCAAATGCCTTCGACGAAAAATGGGCGACCAGTGCTGATATATCGGATATCCAATCGTTCCCCAATTCTGACAGCGAGGATGACGACCTATTTGATAGGTACGATGCCGCCGATAACGCTGACAACGATGATTATGGGAGTATTGGTGACGAATCGGACGGTATGAGCTCGCATAATGGCGACAATGGACCTAGAGCACACCAAATTGAACTTTCGCCCGATACGGCTACCTCGTTGATATCCCCCTTCGCACGGTGGACAACGCCGTTGACATCGATATCTGTTGATGAGCTGGAAGATAATGGGGTAAATGTGGAATACCGACAGAGGAAACTCTGGGAGGAATGGGTGATTTCGAACTCGAGAAATACTGAATAATATGTGACGAGGTTCCTTGGGTTTTTTTATTTATTGTCTTTGATGTATGAATTTCCATTATTGCTTCCGATGACGGTTGGAAACTTATGTCTTCCTCTACTTCGTTTTCCACTGGATTTTGATTATTTTGACAATTTTTGTTCGCGGTGACTCTTCCTTCGCTTTTTGCTGTTTGTTGGTGTGTTGTTTCATTCCAAGGCCACAGAAACAAAGAAAAGAGGATAGCAAAATACGGTGTCTTAAATCTTCCCAGGAATTTTGCTCTTTCTTTCTCCTACTCTCCTCTGCTGCCGTTTGGTTGGTATTATCACTTTGCTCCCCCAGCCTCTTCTTTCAAGCATTCGCATCCACCCTCCGCAAGTCCTGGTTAGCGCCGCCTATTACCGGTTGGGAAAATATTATGTACTGTACATTGGCTTCAACTGGAGTGGAAGGGTTTCTCAAGGGATCCTCACCTATGCCTGATGTGCCTCATAAGGTGCCTCGTGCCGTACATGTATTCAACGATATATGGGTGCGCGCCATCTGGCTTCTTGTTCGCTGCGCTTGCCCTCACATTGGTTTTTCGGGAGGCAAGGAATCTGATTTAACTGTTTTATATACTCACTCACCTCATAAAGTAAAATCCAAGCTCATTTCAACATGTTCCGAAATATCAAGATCAAAATTAAGAAAATATATATTCCAAAAAAAAATATATTATTTGAAAAGGAACAACGATTTCATGGTGTCCATCCCTGAAAAAGCTTGTTACAGGAATCATTAAGTCAAGTATCGATGGGGGAGAAAAACTAACAAATGGGAAATAAAGAGACATGCCCAAAAACCAAAAGTGACGTAAATAAACCCTTTCCAATCCATCCATAAGTAGCCGTTCTCCAGAGGAAAGATATTTTCAATAGAAATCGTCAGGAGGCGATAAATGGGCTAATCTATGTCGAATCAGAAGAATACTCAATAGCAACATAAATGATAAATACAGCTGCATTCCTTAACGCGAGTGCGAGAGATGAAATTGTGGAACGGGTATGGCGAGCTGTGCGCAGGATATCGTGAAGGAACTTTCAGCATATATGTTTATTGTCTCAGAAGGGACAGAGGAAATCGATATTGGCTTCAAAAATCGCCTGTTCTCGAACATGATTCAGAAGATATCCACAATTTTCTGCCGGGTATTCTAGCAGTTTGAGGATTCGAGGATCTGGGCTTGCTTTCTAGGAACATGCATACAGCCGTGCATTCAGCGTGAACCCTTGGATGCATCCACCAGTGGTTTTCTTTGACACTTCTTTCCCAGCCAGTAACCCAAAATGAGAACTGTCCTAGGGTCTTTCTTTTCCAACAGCGCAGTATAATCGGGTGGCAGCCTTTCCATGAATGATGTAATTTTAGGGAAATTTCTTCTGGATCACTCAAGCAACGGACTAAGCATGCGAAGTGGTCCAATGATAGGGATTTGTTTCCTGCATCGCAGTTCGATTTTTCGTCAATTTCGCATATCTCCGCCAGAACTCTTGGGGGAAGCCGTCAGCACCAGGCCAGTGGTCTTCAAATATTGGGTAGTTAGATTCTATGAAGACATCGAACCAAATGCTCTGATGTAAATAGGGGCCTGGTGAATTTGAGAAGATGTCTAAGTGCAGATTGGAGCAAGAGCCAGTTTAGGGCTTTGGGGTCGGAGGAGAAGCGCCAAGAGTTCTCAGGTTTGTACTCTTCTGCTGAGAAAGAAAGAACGCCCATGAGCATACAGGTTGACATTAGACCGTCCATATTGTACGCTCCAACCGAAGTAGATAGCTCCTTTTTATATTATGTGATGGCACGCTGCCAATGGTAGCTTTCAGCAATTTTGATCGAGGATATCCAGGGTAGTAGCCTCCTACGGCTAGAGGTAGCAACCCCAGAATCGCATGCATGAGATATGGAATCTATGGAAATAGATGTTAGTATCATTCACGGTGTTATTGGAAAAACAAACGAGTCTTTCCAGTATCCATACCTGAAATGCAATGCGCAACACAGCCCCGTTAGTTACCTTTTTGCCGGTGTTGCTAAGAGCATTGTCTTCTGAGGATAGGATCAAAAAGTGATAGAAAGCTTCAACAGATTCGCGATTAACCGGCTTCGGCGCAATATTCTTGAGGTCATTGTCAATATTAGGGGCAAGACTCAATGCCGAGTCTATTTTGTCTGCAAGTTCTGTCATTGACAATGAAAATGCTGCGTACTCAATCCCAGGAACTTTCGAATATTTGTCTGCGAATCAGCACACAGTCTTTGGCTTTTGCTGGGATTGCACTGTCAACGAGTAGTCACAGGTTATGCCATAGGAGTCACATTTCCTGCAGCCCGGCTTGGTTTTATCGCACTGTAGTCGAAGGACCGATTGCAGTCAATATCTACATCGGTTCGCAAATTTTGCAAGACGCACGTTACAACAAAGACACTCATTCACGCACGGGGAGATGGATATGTGCAATACATTGAATAAGATAAGAAGCAACAGGGTGAAACCTACCTTAATCCTTCGTTTCTTGCAATTGGAGCAGCCAGACCTGGACTTTTGGTGGGGTTGGCGGGAATGGAAGGTCGGTTGTGCAAATTTGACGGCTTGCTGTTGCGATGATTTATTCGGCCGCTGTCGTCGAGCATTTTTGACACGGAATACCGCCTGGTTTCCAATAATGCGATTTCCCGATACGGCCAACTCCAGCGTTTTTCCTTCATCCCGGCGAATCGGAGTGGGAAAACATAGGGTTGAGTCCAGCGGGGCGGTCATGGTATATGTAAAAGCAATCCAAGCACGCTTCCCTGCGAGGCTGGCCGGCGAGTACGAATGGACACTAATTCGAAGAAGCTAAATATTGAGCCAGGATAGTTGCGCGTACATACGCATTATCATTCCGATCTGCTGTGTGATTATACTGGGAGAATAATAGAGAGAAGGGATATGTAGATGTAGCATATCAACCTAGAGTATTGAAAGGTGTGTCAGTTGAACCAAAAACACACAACTTCTTTCACAAACTTCATATCCTCATCATGCACCTGTCAACTATTGATGTCAAAATGTTGATGATGACGGACGAGCTTGGGAGCAGTGCTCGTATTTATGCCGCTAGTCTCGGAATGGGAAGATGTCCTGTTTCCGCAGTGAGAGCTGCAATAGGCACCAAATCCCCGCCAGCTAAATCATAGAGTGCAATCATTATGCATTGTAATCGGAATATGGTAAGTTGTAGAATAGAACAATTCTCTTCTTATCTGAGTGGAAAGATCTTGACATGTCTGCAATAGAACACATGTCCTTGGCTAAATAGATAACTCTGCTTGGAAGCATCGTTTCTGCTACACCAATAGAGAAAACCCCTGATGATGAAATTATTGTTCCGACAGCCGGGATGATATGACATATGTGAAAATACATAGTGTACATGGTTTTCTGTCCCATAGTTAAAAAAAAGGGAAGATCCGGTCAAGTTATCGGTTTCGTAGATAACATGGGTTCCACAGGAACTCTACCAGGTCTTCTTTCCGTCTCAACTTCATATTCCTCGTCCTCCTCGTCTTCGTCATTCTCGCCGAACATACGACTCCAGACACCATCCCAGATTCCCTTCTTAGTTATCAGCGTCCCTACCATCAGTAGTGGCAAATGCCAAACACTAGCCCAGAATAACCCTCTCGAGCTACCAGCAGCTCCCTGAAGTTTCCAGAATCGATACGCCTCCTTGGCTAGCCAGCAATTGATCAGCGTTCCCCCGATCAAGAACCCTTTATCAACCACTCCGAACCACCACAGGCCAGCGCAAGTGGGAACAGAGGCCCAGTACCAGCCAGGAACCGCCATCAGGG